CCGTGCTGACGTCAGCGTGACGCAGGCTCCAACGGTTGGAAGCCACGTGTCACGCCCCCAACGCTCCGATTTGCTTCTCCAATCCTCATCCAACGGCTGGCGTTTTTCCAGCAATAAAATTATGAAGAAAAAAAAATCAAAATTTTTATAAAAAAAATACTAAAAAATTTTGATTTTTTTTTCCTATAAATACCTATCAATACCCCTTCACTTTCAATACAAATTCTCATACATTTTATTTTACTTCTACTATTACTCAACATTTTATTCACTATTCCCTCAACATTTTCCTCTCTTTCACCTTGTATTTTTATTTCTTATTTTTATGGCTTCTTCTATCGAAACCAGAAGGGTGTGGAGCACCATGGAAGATGTTTCTTTGTGTGAGGCTTGGCTCCAAGTTTGTCATTGTCCCGTGACAGGCAATGAGATGAAATTTTTCCATATGTGGAAAAAAATTCATGCCGAATTTTGTGAAAAAATTCTGGCATCAGCTCGTACGGAAATGACATTATCGAGTAGGTGGAAAATTCTCAACAAAGAGTTGGGAAAATGGAGAGATACCTTGGTAAAAGCGATGAACAACTATAGAAGCGGAGAAAATCGTACTAACGAGGTAAGTATTTTGTAATTTTCGTTTTATTAAGTTTAATGTCCTAATCTATATATATATATATATATATATATTGTTAATATTTATTGCATTTTAAATATTTTGTTAATATTTCTTACATTTTAAATATTTTGTTAATATTTCTTGCATTTTCAATATGTTGTTAATATTTATTGCATTTGAAATATTTTGTTAATATTTCTTGCATTTTCAATATGTTGTTAATATTTATTGCATTTCCAATTGTTTCTTCATATTTCTTGCACTTCCAATTTATTTGTAAGGTTAATTGCATTTCCATTTTTTTTTTGTTACTTGCATATCCAATATATTTTAAATATTTATTGCATTTCCATTTTTTTGTTAAATAGATGATTCAAGCACAGATGTGGTTCGGTGCAACCGGAGGTGGCAAAAAAAGTTTCAACCATCATGAATGTTAGGAGGTGGTAAAATATTCTAAACACTTCATAATTATTCCCACGGGTCCCGCCGTTGTGTTAAACGAGACGACACTCCGTGATTCAACAACATTGGATTCACCTCTCGATTCCCTTATGAGTGAAGACTCATCCATCGAAAATGAGCCCAGGCCCATTGGCCGAAAGGCTGCGAAGGCAAAGAAAGCGGGTAATTCAAGCAATAATAATTCAAAGTTTTTGGAGAAAATTTCAAGGCAGAACGCCATAAGAATTGAAATGGAGCAGAAACGCCAAGATATGGAGGTGGCAATTCAAGCCGAGTGTGCACGAGAAAAGTAGTATTTGAGCAAAAAAGATATGGAGAAGACGGATCGGAAAACCATGGCGATGGATACAAGTCATATGTTCCCTGAAACAAAATAATATTGGAAGCTAGAACGAAGGGATGTTATGAGAAAAAGACTTTTCCAGGATGATGGGCCTAGCAACACGGATTGGTTAAATGATCAAAACCATTAAATTAGTTGGCATACCTTTTATCTATTTTTATTTTTCATGTTTTCTATTGAAATTGTTGTACTTCATGTATTTTATTTTAGTAGTAGTAATTCTTAATGACTTGTATTGGATTTTTTATTTAATAAACAAAGCATTCAATAAAAGACCTTTTTATTCAACATATTCCATACATCAAACAAAATATAATTAAAATTAAAAAAAAAACCACAACAAAACCATAATAAATAAAAAACAACACAACCAAACCATAACTAAATAAAACATAACCAAAGCATCTATGCTCCATCATTCATCTTTATTGCCTTTCACCGCCCATAGATGCTCCATCAAGTCAAGTTGATGCCTTTCTTGAATATACGAAGATTGCATCTCTGTATATCAATCTATCATCTGGGTCATGAAGCGACCGTCCCTCACCAACGGTTCCGGTTCAAACGGTTTTTCATTTGGCCTCATGGGCCTTTTATAAATCCGGTCACGGCTGTGTTCATTGGATCCGGTTCGTAGACCTCTACAGCATCATAATCGTACTCATCCTCCACAACCATATTATGGAGGATGATGCAAGTCATCATAATGCTTATGAGGATCTCCTCATCAAACATACGGCCGCACCTCGAATAATCAACCACCGAGCTTGAAGGATGCCAAAATACCTTTCAACATCTTTCATGTATCATTCTTGATAGGTAGCAAATAATTTTTGCTTATAGGATCAGGGATTCAGAATGGATTTGACAAATGTGGTCCACCTTGGGTAGATGCCGTCAGTTAGATAATACCCCGTCTGGTAGACTGTATTGTTGACTTGATATATGATATTGGAGCCTTGGCCTTTCAAAACATCGTTGAAGATCGGAGATTGACCCAGCTATTGAGGTCATTTTGGGATTCGGCAACTTCGAAGAAGACATGCCAAACTCATGTGTCGAAGCTAGCAACGGCTTCCAGGATGATACTTTTTTGGCCTTTTTTTATTTCCGTAATCATCTTGCAAGGTAATTGGGCAATTCTTCCATTGCCAGTGCATGCAGTCGATGTTACCAATCATTCCTGAAAATCCTCGAACTTCGACTTTTTGTAGAAGCCGTTGGAGGTCCCTAGGAGTAGGTCTACGCAGGTATTCCCTAGTGTACAGATTTTCAACTACATCACAAAGTCTTACCA